CAACTCAAAACTGTTCTGTATTCGTTAAGAGGGTATTTATCACTACCAGTGAGATAAATACACAGAATGTGTTCTAGATTCTTTGCAGTTCCTTGACATTGAGTAACTTTGTGTCATTTAGGAGAGAAACACTGGGACATTTCATGCTGTAAAAACAACAGAGGAAATGAAATTGTAGGATATCAGAAATGGTCGGGGCTACCGTTTTCACCTGCGGTTTCTTTGGAAATCTAAATAAAAAACTTTGGTCTACTGCCAAAAGGTGGCATTTGGGAACAGAAAACTGATTCAATCCTTCCCTGTCCGAAGTACAAATATGCCCAGTGTTTTCCTGTCCCAGTTTCCTTCTCCTTACTCTGAGATCAGTGTTATCAGACCCTATAAATTTCCTATGTGGTAAGTCACCAAATAAACAGAGGTGTATGGTAACAAACAGTTGGGCTTAGATGTCTTCCTGTCTAACTGTTTTGGCCAGAAAAGATGGGTAATTTCTCCTGTGAGATGTATTAGGGAAAAATTCTAATTTAGAGTTACCCAGAACCTGATCCCACCCAGATTACTTCCAGCTCTCCACCACTACAAAGAATGACTTGCCGCACATCCTCATACATGTTCCTTTATGGACCTGCATAAAAATCTTTTTGGGATATACACCCAAGGTAGAACACTAAACCATCAGGTGTGCATAGATTTAATCTGACCAAGCCAGATGACACATATAGCTATGTACTGTAATGCAGTATTCTTGCATTACATAACATATTCTGGAATCCTACATTTTTCCCCCTACCATTTGTCAGTATCCAATGTTCTAATTTTTATCAATCTAATAGGTATGAAGTGATACCTCATTCTTTTTTTAATTTGTATTTTTCTGATCATAATATATCTGAGTATCGCATTATGCCGGTTAGCCTTAGGAGTTTCTTCTCTGTAAATCATCTGTTCATAAGCTTTGCCAATTTCCACTGGGGTTGCTGTCTTTTTCTTGTTGACTTGCAGGAATTCCTGATATACTCTCTTATTGGACATTGCAAAATATCTTCTCCCAATAAGTCAACTGTTAACCATCCATGGTTAACAGGAATTCATACTACAGAAATTCTTAATTTTTATGTAATCAAATTCATCAGTATTTTGCCCTATGCCTTGGGGCTTTGATATTTTTAAGAAGTCCTTGCCGTTCTTGAGCGACAAAGATAACCTCTTACATTTTCATCTAGTACTATAATAATTTTATTTTTCATGTTTAGTCTTTAATCCACTTTCACGTGGATTTACCCATGTATGCTGTTTTAGGTTGGAGTCCAGTTTTATATTTCACCATATAGTGAACATTTTCTACTAAACAATCTATGCTTTACTCACTGACCTGGGTGCCATCTAAATCTTATCCTAAATACTAATACATACAAATATTTGTGTCTCTAATTTATCTATTTTGTTTCAATGGTCTATTTGGCTGTTCTTTTGACAAACACGTATTTTATTACTAACGTTTTGACAATGTCCTTACATCTAGGGCTACTCCCATTCTTTATTACTCCTTTACAAGTTTAGCTTTGTAAAAAGCTTCATGGATTTTTATTCTTATATATACATTTTAGAATAGGCTTATTATTAAGTTCATCAGAACATTATTTGTAATTTGCATTGGGATTGCATTGAATATGTGAATTAATTTGACGAGACTCTTCATATATTACAATCTTCCACCCAAGGGTATGGAATGTGTTTCCATTTAAATTAAATAACTCTATGTTCTTGATTAGACTTCTAATTTTTTTCCTAAAGACTATTCTATACTTACACTAACTCATGTAATAATCAAAACAGCCCTGTAATCTTTTATTATCATCATTTTCCAAATGAGGAAACTGAGCCCAAAGAAATAAGTGATTGCTCAAGAACTCACAGCAAGTAAGTAACAGAGTCTACATTCAAAGAGTTTATAGTTCATACTCTTAACCACTGTGCTGCCTCTCAGTTTACAGGCAGTTACTTTAGTTTGGCTGCTACTGTGAAAGATATCTTCTTTGTATTATTATTTATTTATTATCTGGTATATTGATTTTATTATATTTTCTAATTTATTGTTGCAGATGTAGAGAAATGTAGTTGGTTTTTTAAAATTTTAATCCCAGTATAGTTAACATACAGTGTTATATTCATTTCAGGTACAATATAGGGATTCAACAATTCCATACATCACCCAGTGCTCTTTTGTTTTTAATTTTAATTCCAGAAATGTAGTTGATTTTTAAAAGTTTATATTTGCATCCAGTGAAGTTGCTGACTTCTCTAATTAGTTATAATGGTATATTGTTTCTGTTGCCTTTTTAAAATATCAACTGTCAATAATGACAATTTTGTCTTTTCCTTTCCAATTTTCAAGTCCCTCATTTCTTTTTCTTGCCTTATAACATTGGCCAAAGACTTCCAGTAAATGGTAGACTTTCTGTAGTAATGATCATGGGCAAAGACAGTGTCTTAAAAAAAAGCAATGTTATCCAGAAGAAAGTTTTCATTTTATCTTGGCGATAGTATATGCAGCACATCAGAGAACTGTTTCACAAAAGTATAGGTTAGAAATTGTGCCTGGTGGTCAAGAACCTATTCTAAGCAGACGGGTCCTGTGCTTATCTGTGCCACAGAAATCACTTTTCCATAGGAGACAGCCTTTCCAGGGGAGACATAGCTCAGTTGTAACAAACTTGACTTCATGCTGACTCTAAGTGAATTTAATTCCATCCTAAAGCCCTATAGCAACAACACAGCTCTGCACCTGTCACTTGCTTCATACAATCTGCTAGATGCAATCGTTTTTGACAACACGTTAGTCTCCATCCCCATGGGGGAATTCACAGACAGCAACATTGGAAGGAGTCTTAGAGATCAACTATTGCTCTCATTTTACACACATCTAAAAGTCCCTATAGTGGGTGCCTCATCACCCTTGAGCAGATAGATGATCCACTTTGGGGGGACTGATGCTAACAACTGACAGAGTTTGAATCAGACCAGGGGCTAACACAGCTTTCTCCTAATTGGCTTCAACACTCCATCTTCAGTAGAGGTTGTCAGATGTTTACGGCAACATCTCAAAACTTGCAGTGACCTCATCCATCCTGACTTCAATGGGGACCCAGAGGAGAGAAAGAGGAAGCACCTACTCTTCTTTCTTGTATCCCCAAAGGCTTTTCCCTATGCAAGATTGGTGCATCTGCATAAAAGTGGGCACTGGTAGCTCTGTCATGGAGTCCTGGGGTTTGAGTACAGTCAGACACATCAGAAGCTCTGAGTAGGTAACCAAACACAACCCCTCCCTTTTATACATACCCAGGGTGACTAATACTTGTGGTAGAAATGAGTGAACTGAAAAGCCCCACAGGAACCTCAAACCCAGTACATCCAAAATGGAACTTCTCACTGTCTCCTCCAAACGCACTCCCTTCTCACCGTAACCCCTGCCCAGGACCTAGAACAGCCTCCATTCCACCATCCGCAGCACCTTCCTGTCCATCACACTTGAGGAGTCACTCAGCACCCTGAGAATATCTCCTGACCACCCGCTCCTTCCCATTATGATTGAGGCCTTGGCCACACCCTCCCAGCTACTCTAGGAGATTACCCCTGACTCCTGGGATCCACCCTTCATACTACTGCCGGAGGGAATCTTCACATCATGCCTTCACATGTAACCACGTCTCCTGCCTAAAAACCTTTGAAGGCTCCCCACCACTCTCGGAGCAGATGCTCCTTAGCATGGCATCTACTACCTTCATAGCACAGGCTCTTTGCCCTCTCCAACCTCACACTCTGACAGCAGGATCCCCAGATCCCCATCTCTGTACCCTCCCTGACTGTGCTTCTGATCACTGTTCCCCCTACATAGAACCTGCATCCCCTTCCACTGGGAACTGTCTAATGTCTCTAGGAGCATGTTGGGGGCCCCTGCTCCCGGGAACCTTTGCTCCCTCCTCACACTCCTTGTCCTGCTGAGGTGCCCTCCCTCTGGGCTTCTTCCAAGACCCTGTGCATCCGCCCCACTAAACTGTAACGGTTCTTTCCTGGACACTGTAAGAGACTGGATTCTCTATGACAGTAGTTATTGCATAGCCAGTCTTGTTTCATCCCTTTCCATATTTACAATAGTACCCCTGGGGTGCCTGGATGGCTCAGTCCTTAAGTGTTCGACTTCAGCTCAGGTCATGATCTTGCAGTGCATGAGTTCCAGCCCTGGTTGGGCTCTGTGCTGACCGTTCCCCGCCTGGAGCCTGAGTTGGATTCTGTGTCGCCCTCTCTCTCTCTCTCTCTGCCCCTCTGCCACTCGCAATCTGTCTCTCGCCCTGTCTCAAAAATAAATAAGCATTAAAAAAAAATTTAAGATAGTACCCATGAATAAAATACACTGAGTCAGATTGTAGTATAGGACCTGTTCAGCAGTGGGTGTCCCACGCCTAGCACAACGTCAACCTGGCACGCTGTGGACCATCTGAATGAATAAATGTTGAGTGATGAATGATGAATGAATGATTTGCTCAAGCCCTTTCAGGACTAGGTGGGATGTCACCATCAGGGAACATCCTGGGTATAGATGGAAACTGAGTGGCACCAACAGGCGCTCGGTCGGGAGGGGGCGCTGCAGGGCGGCGGGACGAGAGCTGGAGGGTTGGGGGCGGGGGCGTCCGAGACCTGCAAGTGATCGGGCTTGCCCGGGGACCCTGCGCCACGACTCTGCATGAATTTCGCTTTCGCTTTGGGCCAGCCGGAGGCGGCGGGGCCGTCCCCTGAACGCCTGCGGCCAGGCACCCGTGGAGTTAATTCGAAAGCGCCGCAAACCCCGCGGGCCGAACTCCGCGTGTCACCGAGAAGCTGATGTAGAGAGAGACAGAGAGAGAAAGCAAGCAAGAGACCAGAGTCCCGGGAAAGTCCTGCCGCGCCTCGGGACAATTATAAAAATGTGATCCCCTGGGTCGGCTTCCCACCATCGCCCTCACCTGCTGCGTCCACCGTCCGGATCCAGCTCCAGCCCAGTGTCCGCCCAGTGCCCGCTCAGCATGTGCCCGCCGCGTGGTGAGTAACCAGCCCGACTGAAGACTCATCGCTGGGGTGGGGAGGGCGGCAGCCAGGGAAGAGGAGGCAGAAACTTGGCACCCGCTGTGGGGGAGACTGGCAGGCTGTCAGCAGCCTCGTGCAAAGGTGAAAAAAAAGCGTGACTGCGTGCTTACAATGCACTAAATAGGATATTGTCTCCTTATCTGCCCACTTTACAGATTTGAAACTGAGTCTCCATGCGCTGCGTTTCTCCCTCACGGTCCCTCAGCTACAGTTAGAAAAGGGCAGATCCCAGCCAGCTTCAAAGTGAGGCTTTGTCACCCCTCTGTTTCCAAACAGTAGGTTAGGAGTCTGGGCCAGTCATTTCACTGCCTGGCCTCAGTTTCCCTACTAGTGAAATAGAGGCCTTTTCTGTGTGAGCTATGAATCCAACACCTTTGTCGGAGCTCAACAGGAGGCCTTCACAGGGAGTTGGCTTCTAGCCCCAGAATAGAGCACTACTTTCCAAGAACTTGATTCCTCTCTCAGGTGAGGAAGGAAGACTGGAGATGGGGGAGGGAGGTGGATGCTGGTAAGATGTGGATAGGTGGAGATGGGTGGAAGGTAGAGGCAGGCCAAACCAAGCTGACCAGCTCAGTCTGCTCCTCGCTTGGTTTCCAGGCCTCCTCCTTGTAACCATCCTGGTCCTGTTAAACCACCTGGACCACCTCAGTTTGGCCAGGAACCTCCCCACACCCACACCAAGCCCAGGAATGTTCCAGTGCCTCAACCACTCCCAAACCCTGCTGCGAGCCATCAGCAACACGCTTCAGAAGGTGAGTTTCCAGTGTTCTTGTTCCCACTTTGCAGCCTCTCTAGGGACGGGGGCTTCTCTGAACCTCTGGTCACCCGAAAGAACTGCAAAGAAATTGTGGACTTTAATCAGGAGCTGTCAAGAAGGGGAGAGGGAACTCTATAAAGGGCCCAACTATTAGCTAAAGAGTCTCAATGAAATTGTGTCTCCAGAGAAAGCAAGAGTGGTAATAAATTATAATGGCATTCATTTTGGCTGTGTCTACGCAGAGGAAAGTGGATATTTACAGTGTTCCCTGTAGCCTGCCAACAGAGATGGAATTGTGTCAAGCCCACACTGTTTCTCTGACAAATCTATCAATCCAGGAAACCATTATTAGGTGCAGCCTCTGTGCTCTAGGGGCTACAAAGATGAATTAGGTTTGCCCCTCACACTGCTCGCCAGCTTCCAGTGTAGTGACCCAGTTTGTTGTCTGAGCAACATTTCAGGGGGGCCTGTGACAGTGCACGTCCAGCCTTCAATTTTCTGGCTTTTTAAAAAAAAAAATTTTTTTTTATGTTTATTTATTCTTGAGTGAGAGGGAGACAGAGTGTGAGCGAGGGAGGGGCAGAGAGAGAGAGGAAGACACAGAATCTGAAGCAAGCTTCAGGCTCGGAGCTGTCAGCCCAGAGCCCAGAGCAGGGCTTGAACTTGGGAACGGAGAGATCATGACCTGATCCAAAGTTGGACACTTAACCGACTGAGCCACCCAGGCGCCCCTGCCTTCATTTTCGAGGGAGAAACTTATCTAATATTATTGACAGCTTCATTCATTTCTTAGGTTTCATATTTTAATGCAAAAAAAATTATTTTCCTTTCAAACGTGCTTCAATACCTACAGCTTTTGCTGAAGCAACCCAAGGCTGATGTTTTAAAAGTGGTCCTTTTGCCTTCCTGTTCTCTAGTAAATCTTGCCTGAATTTCTTGTTTTATGAATATCTTAAAACGAGGTCAATGCCACAAGGCCTTAAAGAATTCTTTTCCTCTTCTAATCTTTCACAATGTGCTGCCAGTTGCTCCTCACAGTTCAGTCGATCTTAATTACAAAGGCAACTCGGCAGATGAAAACGGCAGAGAAAAGTGCTTTCATTCCTGAAGAAAGTTTCACTGTGGATAAAATTTAGAAGCTGCAATTTCAGTAGATGCTTTAGGTGAAAAAGCTAACTCTTCTACTCCCCAGGACAGCGCCAAAGGTCAAAAGATTGCAGAACTCAATCTGATATTTTTTAATATCATTCCTTTGTCCAGTTTGATAGAACACACGAGCTGGCTACCACAGAGGAAAGAGGTGGCAAGTGCATGCAATTCACAGCCCATGGATTTGTAGCGTTTGGCCTGTAGCTTTTGTATTCGGTTTTGATTTTGAGTTTGATGCCATTGAAAAAGTGGACCTTCCATATAAGACTCCAAATTTCCAGCTTCTCTTGAAAATCTCTGAAGAACTACAACACAGGGCCTGTATTTCCAAATCTAATGCTTTACAGCCTGCTCGGGAGAGTGGCTGCCCACGTCCGTGTGAATACCTCCAGGAACAGTGTATAGTCGCCTGTTGCTGCTATAACAGATTACCACAGACTAAGTGGTAACACACATTAATTATCTTATGGCTCTGGAGTTCAGAAATCTGAAATGGGCTAAAATCCAGGTGTGAGCAGAGCTGTGTGTGTCCATTTCTGGAGACTCCAGGAGAGAGTCCGTTCCATTCTCTTGCCTTTTCCACCTTCTAAAGGCAGCCCACATTCCTTGGTGTATGGCTTCCTTCCATCTTCAAAACCAGTAATGGCCAGTTGAGTTGTCCTCGTGCTCCATTACTCTGACGTTGACTCTCCTGCTTCCTTCCATTTATAACAACGCAGCAATTCCATTGGACTCACCCAGATAATCCAAGATAACCTCCCTATTTAAGGTCAGCTGATTAGCAACCTTCATTTCATCACCAACCTTAATTCCCCTTGACCGTGTAACATATTCTCAGGTTCCAGGGGTTGGGAAATGGATAGGGACCTGGGGGGATGGGGCAACATGTTCTGTATCTCAAGCCTTGATGATGGTTCATGCAGTTCCCTCTGCCTGAAATTCTCTCTCCTTTGCCTGTCAGTCTTCTAATCCACTTAATGCAGATGTCCCATCACTGGTGAAGCCTTCATACCCTTCTCAGCACTTGTCACCTGCTGACATGACTCCTAATCATTGGGCGCTTTGCTGTCTCTGCAGCTGAACTTGGGATCCTAAGGGGGCATAACATAACACAGTCCTCTTCTTTGTCATGCTCCTTAGTACAGTAAGTACCCCCTTATCCAAGGGGGATATGTTCCAAGACCCCCCAGTGGATGTCTGAAACTGCAGACCATACCGAACCCTATACTATGTTTTTTCCTCTACACACATAACTATGATAAGAGATTAACAATAATAGCTAATAATAAAATAGAACAATTACAATGTATTATAATAAGTTACGTGAATGTGGTCTCTAAATCTCTTACTGTACTGTACTCACCCTTCTTATGATGAGGTGAGATGATAAAATGCCCATGTGATGAGATGAAGCGAAGTGAATGACGGGCACTGTGACACAGTGTTAGGCTACTGTTAACCTTTTGACCGTGTATCAGAAGATCGTCTGCTTCCAGACCATGGTTGCTGGCAGGCAGGTAATGGAAACCAAGGAAGCAAAGGCACCGATAAGAGGGAGGACTCTACTTGCACATGTGAGGCTTGATGAATGGAAAAATGATGTCAATCTTCAACCAGATTTACTGACTTCTTAGATAAGTTTCATAGTTACATTCAACAGTGCTTTCCAACATGCTTGTAGGGTGACATCTGTGTGTACCGCAAATTAAATCTCCGCTTGTCTTTAGGGTTACATGTTCGTTATATCCCTCAAGTTGTGACCTCACCAGTTCCGCCTTTAGAAGTTATACTTGAAAACGATGTTCATAGAACACAGGTCCTTTGGCAAAAGGAAAAAAACAAAAACTGTTTTCACCAGAAGCAAGTGTCACAGCGTGGTGTGGATGCTGATTAGCACAGCCTGTTGAAATGATTTATAGTGTTTACATAATGGAAAAACACATCATCCAGAGAAACATGTCCTAAGCGAAGGGAGAGAGGAGGGAGGGAGGGAGAATGTAAATATCTGGTTTCCTTTTGTCTTAAGAAGATCCCAAATTTCCTGCAGGTCAAAGAGATAGATGGCAAGGACAGCCAGCTCTCACCTTGCTGGCACCGTGGGGTGCCAGCCTCATAGGAATCCAGGTGCCTTATTAATATTATCAACCGGGTTACTCTTTGTTTTTTACAGGCCAGACAAACTCTAGAATTTTACTCCTGCACTTCCGAAGAGATTGATCATGAAGATATCACAAAAGATAAAACCAGCACAGTGGAGGCCTGCTTACCACTGGAATTAACCATGGTATTGTTGATTTTCTTCTCAAAGTATGTAATACAGTGAAGAGCTGTGCATCAAACCTCATCTTCTTCTAAAAATGTGCATGTTTCAGGTCTCCATCATCGTGAGACTTTAACAGGTCTCACTTCAGAAGTTGGACTTGAAAAATGTATATATAAAACAAATACGTTTTCTACAACAATGTGAATAGATTTAACACTATTAAACTTTACACTTAAGAATAGTTAAGGTGGCAAATTTTATATGTTTTTTACCACAATAAAAAGATATGTTTCAGAAGAAAAGTAAGGAAAATGTATATTGAGAATTAATATCTTTGATATTTTTTTTTCCTCTAGAATGAGAGTTGCCTGGCTTCCAGAGAGATCTCTCTGATAACTGTAAGTCAGAAAATCAAAGGTTTTAGCTCATATGATGAATTCATATCACTGATGTCTCATTATCTTTTCTTCTAGAATGGGAGTTGCCTGGCCTCCAGAAAGACCTCTTTTATGACGGTAAGATACAAAACTCTTTCCTTCCTCAAATGCAATGGTGGCGGGGAGGGAGACACTTTTAGCTCATCTCAATGGTTCCTTCCCATTTTGTCATATCACTTAGACCCTGTGTCTTAGCAGTATCTATGAGGACTTAAAGATGTACCAGGTGGAGTTCAAGGCCATGAATGCAAAGCTGTTAATGGATCCTAAAAGGCAGATCTTTCTGGATCAAAACATGCTGACAGCTATTGATGAGCTGTTACAGGTAAGACCTTCATACTACCAGTAAGAGCACCTTCTTCATGCTGAGACAGCTAGTCACGGTCCCTGATGAAGTGTAAAATCTCCCCTTCTTGGATTGGGAGTGGCCTGAAATTGCCCTTCCATATACCATGCAGAGCCTCTTGACAAAGGCCAGTGGTGAGCAGGTCACCGTAAGAAAAGCAAACTCCCACTTGTTGATGACATGGTATATACCAGGCTCTTTGCAGATGTTTTCATATATTTTCTTATGTTGTCTCCACAACCACCACAGGGGGTATGTACAAAGGAGGAAACCAAAGCTTAGAGTTAGCCACTTGTCCACATGGCTTATAAGTGGCAGAGCCAGGATTTAAACCCCCATCAAAGGGATTCCACTACACTTATCCTGTCACTCAAAAGGCTCCATGATGAGGGCACCTGGGTGACTTAGTCAATTGAGCGTTCCAACTTCAGCTCAGGTCATGATCTCATGGTTCTTGGGTTTGAGCCCCATATTGGGCTCTGTGCTGACAGCTCAGAGCCTGGAGCCTGCTTTGAATTCTGTGTCTCCCTCTCTCTCTGCCCCTTTCCTGCTCACACTCTGTCTCTCCCTCTCTCTCAAAAAGTAAACATTAAAAAAAAAATTTTTTTAAAAAGCTCCATGATGTGCATTGAGAGGCCAACATGCATAACTGCATATAATTGTCAGAGAAAACAACTGAGGCTGATGCCTGGGTATGACCCATTTTGAACTAAAATGTGCATTAAATAAAAAGAATGACCTATCCCCTAATATCCACAATGTTACTCAGAGACAAGAGCTTGCTTTGTAATTTTCTGAATCATCATAGCATGTGATGCTAATACAAAATATAGAAATATTCACCTAAGCAAAAGCCGTGTGACTATCTTGGTGACCAGGGCATGGGATAAAAAGAAGTATGATGTCAGAAATCATTGTCTGAAAAAGAATTTATTCTCCTTTCTTTCCTTCTTTGTGCCAAATTACTGTTGGAAAGGCAGTGAACTTCATGCAGGTATCAAAGAACGTTACCATCTAGAGAGTTGTAGATGATATTTCATTTTCAGGTCTCGGAGTCAGGTGATTTGGGCACTGGAATCCGTTCTCCCGGGAATCAGCCAGCCATGCACAAACCATTCACAACTTGGGGGCTCAGTATTTTTCCTTGTAAAATGGGATGACTTTACCCACCCCGCCTTTCTCTTAGGCTTTTTGCAGGGAATAAGTGAAAGCATTGATCATTGTGCCAGTATAAGATCTTGCATTGTGTTAGCAAATTAACAGGCTAAAACTGAGAGATCCATTGCCAGGTTTATTTATCTGTCACAAATGAGTGCACCAAACAAGTCTGTTACTCATGGAGTTCCGATCAATAGCAATCCGTCACCTCTCTGTTCTAAAAAGGACTTAGCTTCTTAGTAGAACATATAAAAATTAATTAGATATTGCAGCAGATGTCATCTTAACAGAATTGTTCCCTTCTAAAATGCAACTCCCACTGATGATTTTCTAAATAGCTTTAAGGGTCTTTTCAGAGCACACTGAAGATCCATGTGCTTGGATAATGAGTATTTCTTCTCTCAGGTTCTGCCTGGCCATCTGGATGGGAGTAGATTTGGGTCGGGTTTAGGAGATGTAATGAGTGAGTGGGTTGCAGGCTCTGAGACATGTATTGGCTTCACCCATTTTTACGGATGAACGTTTTAATTTTGGGATACCATATATGTCATCCTTAATATTTATTCTCCTAGGCCCTGAATGTCAACAGTGTGACTGTGCCACAGAACTCCTCCCTGGAAGAACCGGATTTTTATAAAACTAAAATCAAGCTCTGCATACTTCTTCATGCTTTCAGAATTCGTGCAGTGACCATCAATAGAATGATGAGCTATCTGAATTCTTCCTAAAAAGCTGAAGTTTCTCCCAACCTTAAAGCCACTTTTACAGAAATGTGAACCAAAAAAAACCCCAAAAAACATATATATATATATATATATGTGTGTGTGTATGTATATATATACACATACATATATATATATATATATTTCACAGGATATGGGTTAAGAACCAGGGAGTGGGTGGCTTGACCTGGTCCTCCTTAAGCTAGTACAATAATTCTCATGCTTGTTTACATTAGTTGCCACCCAAAATTTGAAAGATATGACTGTTATGTCCACATGATGCCTTTGACCAAGTCTATTTCACATTTACTAGGGAGGGCTAAGTTGTTTTTAAGTTTTCATGAGCAAATTGCTAAAGAGGGAAAATGTCCTTCCTTGAACATGTTTTTCTTTTCCCTTTAATAGAAAAGCAAGAATTTATAAGCTATTTCTGTACCTAAGTGTTTGTAGACACAAACACCCAAGCATAATTTATTTTAAAATACTTATTTATATAATTTTGTGTTCATGAAAGCATGTGAGCTAACTTATATTTATTTATGTTATATTTATTAAAATATTTATTATCCAATGGATTTGAGAAATACCTTATTTTCTAAAAATAAAATGATTGAATAAAGTAATTCTCATATTTTTCTAATGTAATTGGAATATTTTAAGTGTTAAAATACATGTTGTGGGAAAACTGAAAACTCCAATGAAATGTGAACAAAATTCCCTTAGAAAGAATGCCACAATATTCTTACCCATGTCCTAGTTTCTCTAATCTCTTATTTTATTTTATTTTTCCTAAGTTTATTTATTTATTTCGAGAGAGAGAGAGGGACAGAGAATCCCAAGCAGGCTCTGCACAAACAGCGGGTCTCGATCCCATGAACTGTGAGATCATGACCTGAGCCAAAACCAAGAGTCAGCCACTTAACTGACTAAGCCACCCAGGCACCTCTTCCCCCAATTTCTTAAAGGGAGACTCATTAGACTAGATATGCTCTAATACTAAGGCCATCGAATGAGTTATGGTTTTTAAGAGTATATTTTGTTCAGCATCTACATCTGAAAGTAAAATACATAAAAATGTTTTTTCCCTGTTAACCATAACATGCTGTGCATTAGACAAATACATAATAATATCCTCCAACTGGGAAAAACATCATTAAGAGTCCTTCTAGTTAAATTATTCTAATTTTTGTGACACTTTGGGCCCTCAGGGGAAGCTGTTTCTAAATTACAATGAGAAAAACTCTCCATTTGCTTTAAATTATATAGAACTTCTGCCTGAACCACATGGATAATTGCCTCTCTTTGGCTTAAGAGATGTGCTCTTAATGATCCAAATATTAAATTCCATCTTTTTAATTCTCTAAACCATGTGAATTTTAAAAGATTCACCTGGCAGAATACCATGTAATTTTAGTACTCCGATAATCGTCTTCCTCCTTAATATAAAAAGGCCATAGGAAAGGAAAGATTTGGTGTGCCCCGCCCCCTTCGTCACGTGACTCCTGTTCACCACATCCTAGCTGGTATCCCTGTGGACCAAGAGGGGATGTGTATTGGCCACCCCAGGTCCTCATTTGTGTGGCAAACACTCATTTGTTCAGACTCACCCCCCTTGATACACAATTAAATAGAAACCATCAGAAACTAGATCCCGATACATCTCCTCTTTTCTTTAGGGATTCCTCCACAAATTTGAATGACCTTCAAGGGATTCACAAACAGGAATTTCTTGCCTTTAAGTGTTGGGTTTGGGGTTTCAGCAGCTTTGATTACGGTTAGAAGAGCTCGAGGGCTTGATGCGGCTGGAGCCATAGACTTGCTGCCATCCCTCACTTGGAATGGCGACTTGTCTGTTGTCTGGCCGGTTGTCTGTGCCCAGAAACAAGGAGAGGCAAGCAGATCGTCCATCTGTGGACAGGATGAGTACAGAGGAATACAGGTGTTACTTTGGTTCTTTTTTAAAATTTTATTTATTTTTTAGAGAGAGTGTGAATGGAGGAGAGGGGCAGAGGGAGAGGGGAAGAAAGAAAAAAAAAATCTTAAGCCATCTCCTAATGGAGCCCAACTCAGGGCTGTATCCCACGACTGTGGGATCATGACCTGAGCTGAAATCAAAAGTCAGGGGGCGCCTGGGTGGCGCAGTCGGTTAAGCGTCCGACTTCAGCCAGGTCACGATCTCGCGGTCTGTGAGTTCGAGCCCCGCGTCAGGCTCTGGGCTGATGGCTCAGAGCCTGGAGCCTGTTTCCGATTCTGTGTCTCCCTCTCTCTCTCTGCCCCTCCCCCGTTCATGCTCTGTCTCTCTCTGTCCCAAAAATAAATAAACGTTGAAAAAAAAAAAAAAAAAGTCAGACGCTCAACCAACTGAGCCCTACTTTGGTTCTAGAAATTACCATGACATATGCTTCAAAAACATGACTGGCCCTTGGGGCACCTGGGTAGCTCGGTCAGTTGAGCATCTGACTTCGGCTCAGGTCATGATCTCACATTTTGTGATTCGAGCCCCGTGTTGGGCTCTGTGCTGACAGCTTGTAGCCTGGAGCCTGCTTCGAACTCTGTGTCTCCCTCCTTCTCTCTGTTCCTCCCCCACTTGTGCTCTCTCTCAAAAATAAATAAACAAACATTAAAAAAAACAAAACAAAACAAGACTGACCCAAGAAACCCCTTCACAACTAATTCCTTTCTTTATTACATGGTTAGTTTTCCTCTTTTCTTTTAAGCCTGGGCCTACAATTCACAAGTTGTATAACATGACCAAGTTGTTTTAACCTCTCCTGTTTCCTCTTCTATGAAGTGAAGGTGATGGTAGGACCTACCTCAGAGGATCAAAGTGAGGGTTAAATGGAACAGCTCATGCAAAGCACTGGCACTGCACCTGACCATAAATATGAGCCATTTTTGAAAATTATTAGTCTTTGGGCTTGGTGACGGGGCCAAATCGGTTAAACTCTCTTTTGCTACTATTTTCTTATCTGTGAAAGTCAGAAAACTGTAGCCCCTATTTTAGTGCTGTTGTGAGGATTAAATGGCACAGGACAGTGCTGGCATCTAGTCAATGCTCACTGTCAATTTTTTCAAAGTGTGAAGGTTGTTTAAAGATTTCAGCGATGCCCTGTCCCCGTGCAGCATTATCATAGGCATGTGCCAGGTGTCTGGGACAAGTCCCTGCCTTCACACAACAAAGGATGGGGAGCAAATGAACTTAATAAGACCAAGGTTCCTCTCTCAAAAATAAACATTAAAAAATTTTTTTAAAAGGGGCGACTGGGTGGCTCAGTCGGTTAAGCATCCAACTTCAGCTCAGGTCATGATCTCACAGTTCATGGGTTCGAGCCCCATGTCGGGCTCTATGCTGACAGCTCAGAGCCTGGAGCCTGCTTCGGATTCTGTGTCTCCATCTCTCTGTGCCCCTCCCTCCCCTCAAAAATAAACATTAAAAAAAAAAGAAAAAAAGAAGAAGACCGAGGTTCCCCCACTAAAAATATTTCCCAGTCCTAGTCTGTTAGAGATTCATTTGATTAACAAATTATTTTTAAAAGAAAATAAACAGTGAAAGTGTTTCTCACACCTGAGAATGACTTAATCAGAGAATGAACACGAAAAACAGCTGACAGCTGTCCCACTGAGGGCCCAGAGCTTTAGGAAAAGGGAACAGTTCTGGGGAGCAGTCTGGCCAGACGTCCAAGGGTTGTCTTGGACAGCTCAAGTCATGCAAAAGGACCTTAGATACCCTAATGAGGAAAGAAAACATAGGGACGGGAAGAAAGGGAAGAAAGAACAGCTTTGTCTGGGGCCCAGCACTGACAGAAACGGTGAGTCCTCTGCCATAACACCCTGAACAAACCATTCAGGTGCTGTCCTTGTTTGAAGACTAAACATACGGTTCTAGCTGCCATAATGTGGCTTCCTAGTTTAAGACAAAATACGTTACAATATCGCCACAGACTGAATGTTTGTGTCCCCTTAAAAATCCTATGTTGAAGCCCTGCTCCCCAATGCAATGATATTTAGAGATGAGGCATTAGGAGGTGAATTAGGTCAGAAGCATGGAGCCCTGATGATGGGATTGGTGCCTTTGTAAGAAGAGACTGGAAGAGGAGCGCCTGGGTGGCTCAGTTGGTTAAGCATCTGACTCTTGCTTTTGGCAGAGGTAATGGTCTCGTAGTTAGTGGGATCAAGCCTCGTGTGAGGCTCTGTGCTGATAGCAGGGAGCTTTCTTGGGAGCCTCTCCCTCTCCCCGCCCCTTCCCCCACTTGCATGCACATGTGCTCTCTCTCTCTCTCAAAATCAATCAATAAAAAAATTAATAATAAAAAATTTTAATTAAAGAAAAAAGAGACTGGGAGAGACCCTCTGACCCCCACATGAGGACACAGTGATGGGTGGCTGTGTACAAAGCAGGGTGAGAGCCCTCACCAGATACCAAATCTGCCGGCATCCTGATCGCAAACTTCCCAGCCTCCAGAACTGTGAGAAATGAATGTCTGCCGTTGAAGCCACCCAGTCTGTGGTATTTCGGTGTAACAGTCTGAGCTGACCGAGAAATCTATTTTAAATAAAAAAAAAAACCAACCACATTTTCAAAAATTGATTTGTATCCATTTTTTTGGTTGAAATGTATTTGGTGAGAACAAGTCAAAAACTCTAGTTGTATTTATGTTATCTTTCAATATGGTATTAAAAATACAAATGTGGAGAAGCATATGGTTGGTTCAGTCAGAAGAGCATGCAACTCTTGATCTCAGGGTCATAAGTTCAAGCCCCATTTTGGGCACAGAGCTTACTTAAATATATGAATGTGAATTAGGACATCAGTATAACATCAGAGCCAATATATTCATGTAACCTTTTTAAGAAGCAATATTAATGCTTTCTAGGTGCTAACTAAATGCCAAGTGTGTTTCTAAGTGTTTACCACAAAATGTATAAAATTCCCCCAATAATCCTACAAGGAGAAACTACTATCTGCCCCCCAACCCTTTTTTTTTAAAGTTTATTTATTTATTTTGAGAGAGGGAGTACAAGCGGGGAAGGGGCAGAGAGAGAGAGAGAGAGAGAGGAAAAGAGAATCCCTAGCAGGCTTCGTGTTGCCTGCACAGACCCCAACTCAAGGCTCGAACTCACAAACCAAGAGATCATGACCCAAGCTGAAGTCAGACACTTAACTGACTGAGACACCCAGGCATCCCTACCTTCCCCTTTTTATCTTTATTTTTATTTTTAAAAATTTTTTAACGTTTATTTATTTTTGAGACAGAGAGAGACAGAGCATGAACGGGGGAGGGTCAGAGAGAGAGAGGGAGACACAGAATCTGAAACAGGCTCCAGGCTGTGAGCTGTCAGCACAGAGCCCGACGCGGGGCTCGAACTCACAGAGATATCATGACCTGAGCCGAAGTCGGACACGTAACCGACTGGGCCATCCAGGCGCCCCCTACCTTCTCCTTTTTATAGACGAGGAAACTAAGGTAAGAAACCATATAATCCCACATGATGAGTAAGTGGCAGGCATTGTGATTTAACTCCAGGAGGCCTGGTTCCAGCCTGTGCAACTGTTGTACCCTTTGCCTTTGGTTATATTAAGGGCCCAGTGAGTCAAGGGACATCGTTGTCATAACCATACAAACATCACCAGGGTTATTTATATATCTTTGCTTCCCCTCACTATACCATGCAAACCTCAAGTATGGAAAATGTCATGTTACTCATGTCTATGTGTTCTCAGGCCCAGGCACTTAAAAGTGGGAGAAAGCGAGAGAATGGCCAATCTTCATGGGTTCCCATATGTTTCTCATTTCTTTTGCTAATCTAGGAATAAAGAGAAAGTCTTCTGTCTTTAAAAATCATAGCATTTCCAATTACCAAAAATTTTTTTTTCTCTTTTAATTATAAAATGCATATGTTTGCTTGGTTCAAAACAATCATACATGCTTAGACTGGGGAAAAATCCAAAATTCATAAGCCTGTTGATTTATGCAATTCACGTATCTATGGTTTGGCATGATGTGGTCACTATCCATTAGGAGCCATATACCAACACTTCACACTGGTGAACCAAAGAGTGGTCTACTTCCCCTTGCACGTGACTTCCACACAAACCCCTCAATGGTAGTTCCAAGAGGCCCAGGCAATCATCTTATCGGCTGGTTCTCACACTGCCCCTGACAGGAGTGGGCCACAGGTCCAGCCAGGCTCCTCAACACCCCTTCCAAATCCCTTGGTAAACCCCTCCTGGAGAAACTCCACTTCTGAATGCTTTATCGATGCAGGTTACAGATAAGATCTCACAAATGACCTCTATAGATCAGGGAAAGTTAAAAACTCACCAAACTAGTCCAAGTCCTGCCTGCAGTGAAGTTTTTATTAAGTAACAAAACCATCTCTTAGACTTCCCAACTTGCTTGAACATAAAACGGTCCTATAAATGCACAGAGCATACCCTAATCTAAAAATGAACGCAAGCTAGAGGTTCCAGCAGACAGCAGGAATGGACGGCCACAGGATAAAGATGTCTGACTAACTCCAGGCTGTCTTGTCTAACCAGGAATCTACATCACGACTGGAACAGACTGGATCTAAATCCTCCAGCAGGCTTCAGGGCAGAGCTGGAGGTCCCCAGGACCTGAGGAAAAACCTCAGAACCCCATGCTCAGAAATAAACCCCAGGGCCTCTGTGTTAATATCAGCAGCTTACAGAGCCCTTATCGTAAACACTCAAACCTCGGGATGTGGGCTGGAAAAGACACAATCCCGGCAGTAAATCCCTGGTCACCCAGTTGGGATCACACCCTCCAGCAAGCAGTACACTGCTTTACCCCAAGAAGGACTTCCAGTAACAGGCAAAGGGCTGGGCCAACGGCCTCACTGAGGACACCTTATCAGCAAATACGATGTCCTCTTCAGGAAATGGAGTGAAAATGTGTTTCCACATGACAATGCAGGGGAGGAAAATTTGCCCCTAAAGCAATTCAATAACATTAAAAAATGAGCCTCAAATGTGCAGGAAAACCCCTTTAGAGAGATGCACATGTGAAGAACCAAGAGGAACCCACCTAGTTTTAAATAAAAATGCACCTTCCAATAACAAGATACGGAGGGATGTAGTCATACACTCAGTCATTCCTGGAGTGAGGACAGTTAAGGGAACAAGGGGATGGGCAGGTTCTTCCAAATTTCCGCCAACTCCTGGGTGAACCAGCCTGCCCTGCTTTACACTCAGCCCCCATCCATGATGTGGAGAGCTGGGAACAAAACCAACTAATGCCCAAATGGCCAAGGTAACAGAAATCAAGAAATAAGATGCTTTAAAAAATAATTGATAAGTAAATAACAATACAAAGGACACATATTAGTACTGTACAAATGCAGATTTATTTTTCTTCCTTTCATTCATACTATGAAAAATTGTTAGGAAACCGGCTTACATACAAAGCACCTCTGGAATTATGCGTTTCTTCGGAAAACTTATAAAAAATAATGAACATTTAAAAATTCAAGTCAAGTATTTTACATTCCTGAATGTTAAAACTCCATGTGTTTCCTAGTGTATAGTACAATTAAAAAAAAAAAACTCATAAAGTGACACTGACTTGAATTCCACAGGATCCCTGACAATTAAAAATATGTTCATCCCTATAAAGTGAATTTGTTCTTCACAGGCAAAACAATAGTTAAAGTGTATTTCTCTGATTAATTCATTGAGATTTATTTTATTCTCCAGCTAATTCCTACAGAAGACCAATGGTAATTTATAGTTAGTTCAAATAAGTTAACAAAACATATCCGAAATGTTAATCGCCACATGCATGATTCTAGGAGAGTGACAATATCTATACATACCCAAAAAACCATTTCACCAATTAACAAGAGCCAATGTGGCTCATTATTCCCTGGGGCAAGTCTTCTTCAAGAAGACATGACATTTTTCCCTTGGTCCTGCTCTGGCTATTTCTGAGTAGCATCTCTCCCCCCACCAGAAAGTAAACGATTCCGGGGTGAGAGTCAAGAAATGTAGTGCTTAGCCTTGTGATTTTGGAAGGTTAATGAAATTTGAAGGGACTCTCTGACCATCCATCCAGTTGAACTTCCCCACTGAGATGAGATCACCTCTGAGCGTGCACCTCAACACGGGATGGGGACTGGATTATATTCCTTTCTCATCACTCAAGGACAAGGTAACATGATTGGTTTAACGGTTTAACAGACCACTAGCCAGACAGGTTGGTAATGTGATCTATGGAAATCATCCCACATAAGAAGATATATTGTACCCAGGGGCATGTATGCCTGAGTGGGGGCTAAAAGAACAGGAAGGTATCTCTCATTATTAATGTCAGTATGAGAAAAGCTCAACTACATTGGTGCAAGTTTAAGCACACTACCACTGAGTTGCTAAAAAGGTTTCAAATACTTGATATGAATTTCATAGTTCACAGACTCCAAAAGGAAAATTACCACATTTCTCACCTGACTGAGTCCTTTTAAGCACCTTTGTTAAGGACAGATGTTGGGCGGGGAAGCAGGGCAGGATGGTGTGAGTAGGAGGTGCAAAAAATTTTTTTAAATCTAGAGGTTTTTTAAGTTTTCCAAATATTTTACATTTTCTCTACCCCTGAATAATGCGAGCTGCAGAATGGCCCCCAGTGAAAGGAGCTGCCTCCACAGACTGTGAAGTTCAAGATCTCATCAAGTCCATACCCAATTACCAGTTGAAGTTGGTCTTTACAGGTAAAAGTTCCTGAGGCTTCCTTTTTCAGTCCATCTTCCAAACTTCACCTTTCCTGTAAGAAACCTAACAAAAGAGAGAACACAAACAAATTCAGGGATTCACTGTTAGGGGAAGACAGAGGCATGCTTTTAGAGAAAAATCACCCATCCATTTCAAAAAGGAACTTCTCCAAGTGGCTGGGTTTTCCTGAGCTGAAGATAAGCCACTGTAATTTAAAGACTAGTTGCAAGATGCTAAAACATCCTGATAAAAATACAAAATTCCACCAATTTCTGGCCACAAACGGCACAAAATATTGGCAAATTTTGCTTTTTTTGCTTGTTTTTTTTTTTTAACTCACAGAAGAATTTTGTTTTCCTATTTAATGAGGGAATTGGACTAATAAGCTAGCTTTCATGATTTTTTTCAAGGCTAAAAAAAAAAATTTCACAAACCCCTTTATGGTTCTAACATATCAACAAGTCAAGTGTCTAGTGAGATCAGGAGCAGACACAAACAGAAAACAAAATAACCCATTATATAGAGTTTGTGAGAGACATTTTTTTCAAGGTTGTTTTGATGGAAGAGGCTGTGATTATTTGGTTATCATAGCACAGAGGCCATTGTTGTCAATAGGCAGAAGCGTCTATATGCAAATAGCAGATTTCCACATGTGAGCCTTAGTAATTTACAAAATTTCAACATTTCCAGGAATATGAATGAAAAATTTGGCACTAAAACTAGATATTCTATTTACTTGAGGCTTCTGCACCCAAAATCTACAGGGGAGATATGCCCACAAGATCTCAAAAGCATTCTGAGTGATCACAGAGTGATTTTACTTTTCATACAAACTTGTGGGGCATATACACATTTCTACATTCTTTTTGGAATAAAAAGTCCAACTAGAATTCCAAATAAAAACCTTTCTCTGACTTACTGTGGCTTTTGAGAAGTAACACTACATTTGTTAACTATGGTAAGAATGTATAATAAAGTTTAGAGTTGGTTTCACTGATGTGCTAGATCAAACCACACACACAAAAAAAGACGAGCTTACACACAAAGGAAGGAACCTGCAGTTTTCTGGATTGAGACTAGAAACTTGAGCCCTCCTCTGGGCTCCACTTTTGCCACTTGAGGTTCACTGGTGCCACCCAGTGGCCTCCCCCGGCACTGCTTCAGTGCCACGGGAGGCCTAGAAAGCTGAATGTCTCAAGTACCATAATGACATTTTTAACTACCCCTTAGAGAGCCTTACTACCTGCCTGGAGCTTTCCACGCATTATCTTTTTTCATTCTCACAATAAACTTAGGACACAGGGGCTTTTGCATCCATCTGCCAAAGCGGAACAGAGAGGCTTAAAGTTAGGTTGAGCATTTGCTCCGTCACAAAGCCAGCCAGCACTTGAGATGGGATCTCAACCGTTCCTCTGATCCCACACACAAACCATTCACCTTTACTTAGATTGTGGCAGCCCACGTGCTTACTCTACATTAACATAATTCTCTGAATCCAAGCTCACAAATAAGCAAGCAACACATTCTATCATAGAAACTGGCTCTTTGAAAGACAGAGCTTGATTCGAAGTAAAACGACTAAGAGAATTTCTTGCTCACCTTTCAGCACATCTTGGACTTCAACGGAGATGCTTTTCAAGCAGTTGTATAAATTCTGGGCTGTGGCATTACTCTGCTCCTTTTCTTGCCACTTCTTCAGCACCCTAAAGTTATAGATCGTAACATCTTCTTTCTTCTCCTGGATATCTTCAATATCGCTCCTCTCCAACTCCAAGTTGGCAATGGCCATTTTCATCCACTCCTTCCCCAACTTCGCAGCAAGGATAATCAGCTGTGTGTCTGTTAGCAGGTTTCTGGTCTTCGCTCCGTCTAAAAGCAGACAAGGAAGTCTGCAGTTGCTCTCAACACATCATTTATAGCAATTTATAATGAAAATGCATTCTCCTTATATGTGATTTGTAACTTCAAAATATATTTAAGTGTCAAAAACTCTCTCCTTTCCAAACTATTATATGGACTAAAGGGAACTATTTCATATAATAACATTAAACCAGGGTACAACGTTCACAATGCTAATTCAGTAATTCAGGGAATGAAGCTGTTTTACAAAGCAGCACAGATTGGGTTGGAATAAAAAGATCGGACACCAAAAATAATTTATATGGCTCAAAAAGAAAAATACATAGTTTTGCCCTCGCCCAGCTCGTGCCTTTACCTGAATGTTAGTGCCACATATAAACGCTATCTTAGTGATCACTAAAGACACAGCAAGACATCTGAATCCCAATTTCTATTACGCCATCTCCTGGCATTACGGAAAAAAGCACAACTTACAGAAAAGTCATGAGATGGTCTGTAATGTCTATTAATCTCTATGAAACAGAATCATAATCTTGGAGGGACATGTGTTTGCCAACGTAAACTACTGGCCCCATGAAAAACATTAGCCCTATCACTAATCTAGATTTGCTACTTTTATGTTTTGTAGTTAGTTGCACAATAGTGTTGCAAAGCTCACTGGTTGCCTAGATTCCGCCAAGGATCATAAAGGCATTACAAAATACTGGAGGCAAAATTAGAAGGGAGTGACAGGCAGAATACTTTCTGCCCCTTCTTCAGGATCACAGAACTCTACAGCCAACAATTTACTAATATGAATCTAATCTCTGTACTAACCCTTCCCCACTTCACAGATCCCTTCCAGATTGAAGAAAAGGTCTAAACAATGGCCCGCGCTCTCTAGTGGTTTCTTGAGATGCGGTACACTGCTCCCAGCTCTCAACAGCGGCAGCATGAAAGCTGCACAGGCAGCCTATGAAAACTGCCAGTTGTCAGGACCATCATAAAACTTATTGCTTCCGATCCCGAACCTAAATCCTAACAAGACCACAAGGTGATTCTATTAAGACTGAGTACTGGCTATATTTAAAGAGCATCACACTGATACACTGAGTCTAAAACTACCAGGACAGTGACTCAGTATCTCAAAGAATGTTGTGAAAATACCTTAACAGAAGTAAATCTTTATTAACTTATTTTTTTCTTTAAAAAAATTTTTTAAACGTTTATTTAGTTTTGAGACAGAGACAGACAGAGCATGAATGGGGGAGGGTCAGAGAGAGAAGAAGAATCTGAAACAGGCTCCAGGTTCTGAGCTGTCAGCACAGAGCCTGATGCGGGGCTCAAACTCAGGGACCGTGAGATCATGACCTGAGCCGAAGTCGGACGCTTAACTGAATGAGCCACCCAGGCACCCCTTTATTAACTTATTTAGATACCACACTGTCAACTCCAAAAAAGTTGGAAATCCTTAATCTTTCTAGGTGGCATTTAATAATTTTATTTCTATTTCTAGCTGCTTGCTATCGGAGCTCATTTTAAATAGCCAAAAGTAACTGCATATAACAAGAGAAACTTTTCCTATATATCAACTTAATATAAAAGTGTGTCCCCGTTATAAGATGAATACGGTCTGAGGATCTAATGTACCGCATGGTGACTAGAGTTAATAATACTATGTTGTATACTTGGAATTTGCTGAGAGTAGATCTTATGTACCATCACCCCCCAAAAAAAAAAAAAAAAAAAAGTGAGGGGATGGATGTGTTACTCGACTTTATTGGTAAATATTTTACAATGTGTAAGTAGATCAAGTCATCACATTATATAAACAATTTTATTTATCAATTATATCTCAATAAAACTAGAAAAAATTATATTCCAGTTATGTTTTAAAAGTAATTCTAGAACCTCATTTATTTTGCTATTTACTTAGCAAAAACAATATGCGTTTCTGTAGTGATATACAGTAAAGGCATCCACATGTCGTCCTCACAGTCTCCTGCTCTAGAAAGTAGAGAGAATCTTACATCACTTTATAGAGGGCTTATCTGCTTTCAGAGATTCATATCTTACAATAATAGTAAAAGAAAAGGTATTCTGAAGAAACAGCTAATTTAGGGAGTTATATGAGGCCCTTGAAGCCTTGAGACCTTGAGTCTCATATAATTTGAGTCTGTTTTTAAATTTAGGTTTGTAAATTCTGCCTGGGCTTCAATTTTGAGCTACATACTCCATCTTCTGGTGCCTTGGAGTACTGTTGTTAAACATTTTCAGTATCTATTGTATTTTCACAATGATCAAGCCTTGGTTTATGCCATTTATTTGGAAGAAATTGAGACTCGCCTCCAATAATTGAGCTGGAGGCTCTTTTCCCCAGATGTAGCTAGTGACCATGACACCAATGAAGGCATACACAGACATTCACAATTTTATTCATTCAGTCAGCATCCATGATCTTCTACATAGAAGGCTCCATGGTCACTTCTACAGAAAATGTAAAGATGGACAGTTCACGGCCCCTATCCTTATAGACTGGAAGGGAGCTCCCCCTGGTGCCCCCTTCTATTTAGAGTGAGTAAAGGGGTGGAGTGGGGACTCAAGCTGGAGACCCAGGAGGACCCAGGAGGCCCGAGGAGGAGTTGGGACACAGAGGGAAGATATCTGGGAGGGCAGGCTCAACTAATGTGGCTCCAGAAGACTGGCCCAACAGCACGGGCTTGGATAAATATTAACGGGGGGAAGCAGGGAAAATAATTTACAGCCACTGATGACATTTTTACAAACCTGAAGTATCAACCTGCTTCATTCTTTTGTCATAGACTTCCTCATCAGATAAGCTGCTATTCATTTTTCGCCGCCTGTTACCTTAAAAAAAAAAAATCAACAAATTGGCTTTCCTTATATTATTTTCTACCCACCCTTAATCTGGATTTTTAAAAAAATCATCATCCAGGTACGAACAAATGGAGAATGAATTCAAAGTTTGTTCAGATGATTAAGAGAATTACAGAACACTTAGATCTTTTTAAAAAAAATTTTTTTTACAGTTTATTTTTGAGAGAGAGAAAGCAGGGAAGGGGCAGAGAGAGAGGTAGAGAAAGAGAGAATCCCAAGCAGGCTCCAAACCGTCAGTGAAGAAGCCGATGTGGGGCTCGAACTCACGAACCAAACCGTGAGATCATGACCAGAGCCAAGGTTAAGAGTCGGACACTTAACTGACTGAGCCCCCAGGTGCCCCAGCAGATAATGAAGCCACATTTGCACAGCAAAATAAAAACTCTAGTAGGTAGAAGGAATAAAGGAATAGATTAAAACTCGTTTAGTGTCCAGTTAACTAGTACTTACCACTTGTGCTGCTTTTTGAAATGTTCTGATTCTGATCATGCTGAACCCAGTCACCTGTTAAAGTATAATATGCATCAACTGCAAATAGTACAAAATTTGACTTAAGTCAATTTTTTGAGATAAATAACGAGTACTCTTTTCAACAGGTCCTACAGGGCAAATGTTTCCTACCCTCCAGTCATCCACTGCAACTGTCCCGATTTTTGCCAAACCCATATGCCAGGTGAAATGTTACTTACTCAGTACTTCTTTACATCTCTAACCGCTGTAAACAGACCACTGGTATCACTTGTGGTATGGATAATGAAGACATAAAGATAAATATTTCTTATTTTAAATGTATTTATTTGTACTCCACCGAAAACAATCTCATATATTATCATTCTGCACTTTGGGAACACCATACGTGGGGAGTTCCTTCTGAACATATCATTGTGACTTTATGCCACCTTCCCTGTTTGAAATGCAACCCCTGCTCCATGAAGAGTCTATGCCTCATGCAGGTCTTCTTTGGGTCCCTTTAGTGAAGATGCCTTAATAGTGACGAGCAATCTCAATTAACCATTAGTTTAGCCATTCCTCCCCCCCAAATACAGTGGAGACCAGAAACATCTTACAACAAGAGTATCTTCTAAAGTTGTTTTAAAAATGTTTATTTTTGACAGAAAGAGAGAGAGAGAGCACGAGTAGGGGAGGGGCAGAGAGAGAGACACACACATACAGAATGTGAAGCAGGCTCCAGGCTCTGAGCTGTCAGTGCAGAGCCTGATGCAGGGCTTGAACCCACAAACCGTGAAATCATGACCTAAGCCAAGGTCAGATGCTCAACCAAGTCACCCAGACACCCCATAATGCAGAGCACTATTAAATATGTTTTTAAAAACCAACATGAGAGGTCTTATAAAGTGGTCTTTAAAACTACCAAGAGATCTATTCTTAGTCCAGAGAATATGGTATTCAGATTGCTACATGTTAAATACCTCTCTTACAGTGGCATTAGCGGTGACTAAAAAGTAACATTTTTCAGGTTCATTTATCTGAACAAATAACGAATACCAAGAAAAACAACACAATCCCCCCCGCCCACAGTCCCAACTAAGACTATTTACAGGTAAATAGTTTTTGCTCAGATAAAAGGGCCTGTTTCAACTACTAACTTAAGAGTATAATATTGAGGAGGGAGTTAAGATGGCAAACAAGTAGGGGGACCGGGATTTTCCTCATCCCTCAAACACAGCTGTACGGAGGTCAGATCACTTGGAACACCCAGGAAATCAGTCTGCAGAGTAACAGAAGGATCTCCACAGCAGAGGGAGACAGTTTGGCAGGATCAAGGGCTACCTCAACAAACAAATCAAAGCACACGTGTTTGAAGGTTCAAACACTCCACCACCTCAAGCAAGGAGGAGCTCTGCAGAGGACTGACCAGCGAGATAGAGCAGCCAAATACGCAATAACAGAGTGTGCTCAACCCACTCCACAAACACTTCCTGAAGTGCCAGGACCTGGGCAGTGTTTGACCCCTTTTTAATATAGTAGTACTCACAAGTGCAAGACACATAACAAGCTTTAAAATACGCAAAAGACAGAAACTTAGCCAAAATGACAAAATGGAGGAATCCTCTCCAAAAGAAAGGTCAAGAAGAAATCACAGAGGATTGCTCAAAACAGATATAAACAATATGCCTGAACAAGAATTTAGAATAACAGTCATAAGACTAATAGCTTGGCTTAAAAAAAGCATAGAGGACACCAGGGAAACTCTTGCTGCAGAGATCAAAGACTAACTAGTTAGGATGAATTTAAAAATGCTGTACCTGAGATGCAAAATAAACTAGATACAGTGACAGTGAGGATGGAAGAAGCAGAGGAGAGAATATGTGACATAAAAGATAAAATCAAGGAAAATAATGAAGCTGAAAAAAAGAGGGAGAGGAAATTACTAGATCACGAAGGGAGAATTAGAGAACTAAGTGATTCCATAAAACAAAACAATATCCGGACCACAGGAGTCCCAGAAGAAGAAGAGTGAGAGAGAGGGGCAAAAGGTTTATTTGAACAAATTAAAGCTGAGAATTTCCCTAATCTGGGGAAGGAAACAGGCATCTACGTCCAAGAGGCAGAGCGAACTCCCTTCAATGTCAACAAAAACAGGTCAACACCATGACATACATAGTAAAACTGGAAAAATACAAAGACAGAGAATTCTGAAAGCAGCTAAGGACAAAAAAGGGTAGACATATAACAGTAGTAGCAGACCTGTCCACTGAAACTTGGCAGGCCAGAAGGGAGTGACAGGAAATATTCAATGTGCTGAATAGGAAAAATATGCAGGCAAGAATCCTTTATCCAATAAGGCTGTCATTCAAAATAGAAGGGGAGATAAAGACTTTCCCAGACAAACAAAAACTAAAGGAGTTCATGACCGCTAAACCAGCCCTGCAAGAGATCCTAAGGACTCTGTGGGTGGGAAGCAGCAGAGATTACAAAGGACCAGAGAACATCACAACAAACATGAAATCCACGGGTAACACAATGGCGCTAAATTCATATCTTCCAATAATCACTCTGAATGTAAATGGACTAAATGCCCCAATCAAAAGGCAAATGGTATCATAATGGATAAAAAAAAAAAAAAAAAAAAAAAAAAAACCAAGATCCATCTATATGCTGCCTAAAAGAGATACCTGCAGATTGAAAGTGAGGGGATGGAGAACAATCTATCATGCTAATGGACATCAAAAGAAAGCTGGAGTATCCATACTTATATTAGACAAACTAGATTCTAAAACAAAGATTGTAACAAGAAATAAAGGGCACTATATCATAACTAAGGGGTCTATCCATCAAGAAGAACTAACAGTTGTAAATATTTATGTCCCCAATGTGAAAGCACCCAAATATATAAATCAATTAATCACAAACATAAACAAACTCATTGATAACAATACCATGATCGTAGGAGACTTCAACACTCCACTTATAGCAAAGGACAGATCATCTAAACAGAAAATCAACAAGCAAACAACAGCTCTGAATGACACACTGGATGAGAGGGACTTAACAGAGATATTCAGAACATTTCATCCGAAAGCAGCAGAATACACATTCTTCTTGAGTGTACATGGAACATTCTCCAAAACAGATCACATACTGGGTCACAAAAGAGCCCTCAACAAGTACAAAAAGGTTGATTTCACACCATGCATATTTTCAGATCACAATGCTATGAAACTTAAAATCAACCACAAGAAAAAATTTGGAAAGCCCCAAATACATGGAGGTTAAAGAACATCCTACTAAAGAATGAAAGGTTAACCAGGAAATTAAAGAAGAAATTTAAAAAATACATGGAAGCAAGTAAAAATGAAAACATGACAGTCCAAGCCCTTTGGGATGACTCAAAGGCAGTCCTAAGAAGAAAATGCATTTCAACTCGGGCCTATTTCAAGAAGCAAGAAAGGTCCCAAATACACAACCTAGCCTTACACCTAAAGAAGCTAGAAAAGAAGCACCAAATAAAGTCCAAAGCCAACAGAAGGGAAATAATAAAGATTAGAACAGAAATAAACAATAAAGAATCCAAAAACAAAACCCAGTAGAACAGATCAATGAAACTAAGAGCTAGATTTCTGAAAGAATAAACAAAATTGATAAACTCCCAGCCAGACTCCTCACAAAGAAAAGAGGACCTAAACAGATAAAATCATGAATGAAAGAGATCACAACTAACACCACAGAAATACAATTGTAAGAGAATAATATGAAAAATTATATGCCAACCGACTGGACAATCTGGAAGAAATGGACAAATTCCTAGACACTCACTCACTACCAAAATTCACACGGGAATAAATAGAAACTTTGAACAGACCCATAACCAGCAAAGAAATTGAATCGGGAGGTGCCTGGGTGGTTTAGTCGGTTAAGCGTCTGACTTTGGCTCAGGTCATAATCTCACAGTTGGTGGGTTCAAGCCCCATGTTGGGCTCTGTGCTGACAGCTCAGAGCCTGGAGCCTGCTTCAGATTCTGTGTCTCCCACCATCTCTGCCCCTCACCTGTTCATGCTCTCCCTCTCTCAAAAATAAATAAACATTAAAAAAAATTTAAAAGAAAGAAAAAAAAGAAATTGAAACTGTTATCAGAAATCTCCCAACAAATAAGAGTCCTAGGCCATATGGCTTCCAGGTGAATTCTATCAGACATTTAAAGCAGAGTTAATACATACTCTTTTCAAACTGCTCCAAAAAGTCAAATGGAAGGAAAGCTTCCAAACTCAGCATTACCTTGATTCCAATGAACCCAGCATTACCTTGATTCCAAAACAGACAAAGACCCCACTAAAAAGGAGAATTACAGATCAATATGCTTGATGAAGCTGGATGCAAAAATTCTCACCAAGGGGCGCCTGGGTAGCTCAGTTGGTTAAGCATCTGACTCTTGATTTTGGCTTAGGTCATGATCTCAAGATTCGTGAATTCGAGCCCCTCATCAGGCTCTGCACTGACAGGTGGAGCCTGCTTGGGATTCTTTCTCTCTCCCTCCCTCCCTCCCTCTTTGTTCCTCCTCAACTTGTGCTCTCTCTCCCTCTCTCAAAACAAATAAATAAAAACTTAATAAAACAAATTCTCAACAAGATACTAGCAAATTGAATTCAACAGTACATTAAAAGAATTATTCATGGGGCACCTGGGTGGCTCAGTTGGTTGAGCGGCTGATTTCAGCTCAGGTCATGATCTCACAATCTGTAAGTTCATGGCCTACATGGGGCTTGCTGCTGTCAGCAGAGTCTACTTAGATCCTCTGTCCCTCTCTCTCTGTGCCCCTCCCTGCTCATTCTCTCCTCTCTCTCTCTCTCTCTCAAAAATAAATAAAAATATTAAAAAAATTAATTGAAAAGAATTATTCACTGTGATCAAGTGAGATTCATTCCTGGGCTGCAGGGCTGGTTCAATATACAAAAATCAATCGATGTGATACAAGACATTAATAGAAGAAAGGATAAGAACCATATGATCCTGTCAATATATGGAGAAAAAGCATTTGACAAAATACAGCAAATCGTTTCTTGATAAAA